CCGAGCCCCCGCCCGGCTCCCTGCAGCCCAGCGCCCCCCGCCGAGCCCCCGCCCCGCTCCCTGCAACGCAGCGTCCCCTTGCTGAGCCCCCGCCCCGCTCCCTGCCGCACAGCGCCCCCCAGCACCACACTAGGGCATAAGGTCAGCACTGACTGTGAAGGGCGAGCACCCCGTACTGAGCTCCTGCCCCACGCCCTGGAGCACAGCGCCCCCTAGTGCCCCTCTGGTGCCAGCACTGACTGCCAGGGAAGAGTGCTGTGACACTCTGTACCTCCAAGTAGCACCCTGGAGCCCCCATATTCACCATGGGGAGATGATTATGATGTGTTTTGTGCAACGCCTTGTGAGGTATCATTTTAAAAGTCTTGATGTGTTGAACATGCATCTCCTGTTGGGTTGTGTGTCCTATCGGATGGGAAGTTATGAAGTTGTGCTATGTGTATGTTACTGAAATACGGTGTGAGGTTGGGAACGCCCACAGCTGGCCTTTCAGTGACAACAAAGGAGCATCTATCCCTGGCCAGACAGGTGTTAATGGCCCATCACGAAGAATCCACTCTCCCAAAAGGTCCTGAGAAAGGGCATGTTCACCAGTCAGGGCCGGATTAACGCCGGGGCTTTAGGGGCTGCAGCCCAGGGCCTCGGGCTAAGAGTGGCCCCGCAAACATAAATCCATAATTATAGACAATTCAGTGGTCACCAACCTGTCGATCGCGATCGACTGGTCGATCCTGGAGCCTCTGCCAGTCGATCGCGATCTCCAGGCCGCTAAAAGTCCAGCGGCGCAGCGGGGCTCAGGCAGGCTGCCTGCATGCCGTGGCCCCACGCAACTCCCGGAAGCGGCTGGCTGCTGGCAGGTCTCTGTGGCCCCTGGCGGAGGGGGGGGAAGCGGCGCCGTGTGCTGCCCCCACCCCCTGCACCGTCCCCACAGCGACCATTGGCCGGTTCCCGACCAATGGGAGCTGCGGGGGTGGCCCTTGTGGGTGCGGGCAGCGCACGGAGACCCGCTGTTAGGGTGACCAGACAGCAAGCGTGAAAAATTGGGACAGGGGGTGGAGGGTAATAGGAGCCTATGTAAGAAAAAGACCCAAAAATCAGGACTGTCCCTATAAAATCGGGACATCTGGTCACCCTGCCGGCTGTCTCCCTCCCCCAAGGGGTGTGCAGAGACATGCCAGCGGCGGCATGGGGCCACAGCATGCAGGCAGCCTGCCTGAGCCCTGCTGCGCCGCCGGCCAGGAAGCCTACCTGTGGTAAGCGCCTCCTGGCCAGAGCCTATACCTCACACCCCTTCCTACACCCCAACCCCCGCCCCAGGTCAGAATCCCCTCCTGTACCAAATCCCTCCCAGAGCCCGCACCCCTCACCCTCTCCTGCATCCCAACACTCTGCCCCAGCCTGGAGCCCCCTCCTGCACCCAAACTCCCTCCCAGAAAGAAACTAATATATCAGCTGTTCTAAGGTAAGAAGTAGGCTATTTTGAATTAACTTAACTATATTCTACATGTTTTAAGACTGAAATGTAACCACAGAATGGCTTTATGTTAATTAAAAGGCAAATTTAGTATAGCATTAATAGCCTCGATGTCATAATTGTGATCATTTTCTTTTAAATTAGGAAAAAAACTTGTATACAGGGCCCCACAAAATCTAATAGTCCCGCACCCACAGGAGAGATAATCTGGCCCGGATGCCAGTGGTTCTCAACCAGAGGCACGGGTACTCCTGGGGGCACACAGAGCTTTCCAGGGGGTACATCAACTTATCTAGATGTTTGCCTAGTTTTACAACTGGCTACATTAAAAGCGCTAGCCAAGTCAGTACCAACTAAAATTTCAGACGGATGATGGACTGGTTTATACCGCTCTATGTCATACACACTGAAATGTAAGTACAATATTTATATTCCAATTGATTTATTTGATAATTGTATGGTAAAAATGAGAAAGTCAGTGATTGGTCAGTATTAGTGCGCTGTGACGCTGCTCTATTTTTAGGTCTGAATTTGTAAGCAAGTACCTTTTCAGTGAGGTGAAACTTGGGGTACGCAAGACCAATCAGACTCCTGAAAGGGGTACAGTTGACTGGAAAGATTGAGAACTACCGAGGTATGCACTGGAGACTGTCTGACCCCCATGTCACTGCAAGGAGCTTTCTAGCAGATGGAGGAAAGTATAAAAGAGGGACAATGACAGGGGGAGGGATAGCTCAGTGGTTTGAGCATTGGCCTCCTAAACCCAGTGTTGTGAGTTCAATCCTTGAGGGGGGCCATTTAAGGATTTGGGGCAAAAATCTACCTGGGGATTGATTGGTCCTGCGTTGAGCAGTGGGTTGGACTAGATGATTTCCTGAGGTCCTTTCAAACCCTGACATTCTATGATCACTTGGCCTCTTCCCCTGATCTCAACATCTGGAAGACAAAGATTTTGAACTGGGGAGATTGGTCCCAGGCTGGAAGAGAACCCAGTCTTTGTACTGAGGAGCTGTAACGTCTGTTAGGGTTGAATCAAGAGACCCTGCTTGATTCAAATCCCACATAGTTTGTTGAATTTAGACTCTGTTTCTCTTTATTTCTTATGTAACCAACTTGGGTCTCTCTGCCTGCTACCTATAATCATTTAAAACCTGTCTTTGTGGAGTTAATAAATCTGTTTTCTATTTTACCTAGAACAGTGTGCTCTCGGCTGAAGTACTCGGGGAATCTCAGCTCAGATTACAAAGGCTGGTGCGTGGCCACTTCCCTTTGAGCAAGTGGTGAACTAATTAATGAGTTTGCACGTTCCAAGGCCGTCTTGAGCCGCGTATGCTGGTATATTTCTGGGGTGGCAGGCTGGGGGCTGGGGTGACTGGCTGGTGCCTCTCTCTGTAGGATTCATGAATGGCTCAGGGAGCATTCATGCAGTTTGGCTGGGTGTAGGCTCCACAGGCTGGTGGCTGAGTGATCAGGGCACCTGGAGGGGTTTTGCTGTTTGTCACTGGCATAGCTTTGTGTGAGACAGCGCTGGGTGGAGAGTTAAGGGGGCACAGCGGTCCCACAGTCCCAGGTTGTACCCCGGGGATCATAGGCGCCGACTTCCCCTCTGCTCTGTGGGTGCTCAACCCCCCTGCCCCTAACCCCCCTGGCTCCTGCACCACCCTTGCCCCCCCCCAATTCCATCCCCTTCCCCCAAGTCCCTGCCTCTGCCCCACCTCTTTACCACCTTCTCCCCCAAGTGCGCCGTGTCCCCACTCCTCCCCCTCCCTCCCTCCCAGAAAGTCCTAAGCGCCGCCAAACAACTGTTAGGCTGCGGGCAGGAAGCGCTGGGAGGGGGAGGAGGAGGCAAGGAGGGGGTGGGGGCAGGGGGAGCTTGGCAGCAGGTGGGTGCGGAGCACCCACTAATTTTTCCCCGTGGGTGTTGCAGCCCCTCAGCACCCACGGAGTCGGCGCCTATGCTGGAGATCCCATCACAAATGCCCCCTTCTGAGCTCCCACCCCACCCTGCAGCACAGCGCCCCCTAGTTCCCCACTGGGGCCCTGGGATCAGTACTGACTGCGAGGGGAGAGCGCCCCCTAGGGAGCCCCCACTCCGCCTTGCAGCACAGCGCCCCCTAGTTCCCCACTGGGGCTCTGGGATCAGTACTGACTGCGAGGAGAGAGCGCCCCCTAGGGAGCCCCCACCCCGCCTTGCAGCACAGCGCCCCCTAGTGCCCTACTGGGACATTGAGGCCAGCACTAAGTGTCGGAGAAGAGCGCCCCGAGTGAGCCCCTGCCCTGTTCCCTGGATTTGTCCCACTGGAAGTGGTACCACCACACTTAGTTTGCCAGATCTAAGAGCCAGAGTCAATGCCGCTGCAGGGAGCCGGGGCTCCCGGCTGGGGGCGCCGCGAGGGGTAGCCCCTGCCTACCTGAACTTATAGTCCGTGTAGCGCATCTGGTGAGCCCGGAGTTTGGAGACCAGGATCTTAATGATACGGAGGAATATGACAAAATTAACCTGGGGGAGAGAGAGTAAGTTACCCATGGGGAGGTCAGGGGACACCACTCCCCACTGGTACCCTCTGCCCTGGGGATGGGCTGGGAGACCCTGCAGCAGGGCTGGTGTTTACATAGGGGAGGGAGAGTGGCACTTTATACATGGGGAGGAGAAAGCATCACCCCCCGGTGCCAGCACTCCCACCCTGCTCCCCACAGCACCCCCTGCTGGGTGAGACCAGGACTGGCGTAGCTGGGAGCTCCCCCACAGCCAGTCGCCTGCTTCTCACAGCACCCCCTGCTGGGTGAGACCAGGACTGGCGTAGCCGAGAGCTCCCCCACAGCCAGCGCCTGCTCCCCACAGCACCCTCTGCTGGGCGAGACCAGGACTGTCATAGCCGGGAGCACTCTCACAGCCAGAGCCCTCACCTTGCTCCCCACAGCACCCCCTGCTGGGTGAGACTGGGAATGGAGAAGCCAGAAGTTCCCCCCACAGCCAGCACCCTCCCCACAGCGCCAAGACCAGTACTGGAGTAGCCAGGAGCTTCTCCCACAGCCAGTGCCCGCTCCCCACAGCGCCCCCTGCTGGGGGAGACCAGGACTGGAGTAGCCGGGCGCTTCCCCCACCGCCAGTCCCCGCTCCCCACAGCGCCCCCTGCCGGGGGAGACCAGGACTGGAGTAGCTGCCTCTTGGCTGTCTGAAGAACAGTGGGTGTTTGTAACTCACCAGGATGGCCAGCAGGATGGGGCAGCGGATAATCCACCAATAGGCCATGTTATCATTTCTCTCCCAGCACCTGGAAAACCAACTCACGTCAAACTGGCTGGGAGGGAGGAACCTACATAGCCGGGTGGGGTGGTGACAGGAGTTAGCAACCTCCCAGGTGGCACCAGCCTTCTCTCTCCCGCCATGAGCACAGTTCTGTCTGTGACCCAGATCAGCAGAGGGCTGGCCTTTGCTCCCCACCAGGGCCATCAGATCATCCGGCCTGAGCTCCTGTGAGCACCCGCCACTAAACCCCACCCAGCCGCCCCCACCCCAAGCCCGGCAACCTCCGTTAGATCAAAGTATTACAGCCCCCCGGAGACTAAACACTCATGGGCCACAGGCAGAGAATACCAGGGACCGATGGGCACTGGGGCCCCGCCAATGGCAGGGGATTGATTGGGCGATCCATGCCCCATACTGCAAAGGAAGGGGAAAAAGTCCCCCAAGGCCACAGCCAGTCTGACCTGGGGGCAAATTCCTTCCACACCCCAAATCCGACCCTGAGCATGGGATCAGGGACCAGCCAGCCAAGCACCGGAGAGAGAATTCTCAGAGTCGCCCTGGCCCACCCTGGGGCTGAAGTTGAAGCCTCAGCAACTTAGCTTTGTGGCATAGGCGCCGACTCCGTGGGTGCTCCGGGGCTAGAGCACCTACGGGGAAAAATTAGTGGGTGCTCTGCACCCACCGGCAGCCAAGCTCCCCTCCTCCCCTGCTCCACCTCCTCCTCCCCTTCTCCTGAGCGCACCGTGTCCCCGCGCCTCCACCTACCTACGAGCGCTTCCTGCCCGGCCGCTGCCAAACAGCTGTTTGGCAGTGTTAGCATGCTCCGGAAGGGAGGGGGAGGAGCGGGAACATGGCGTGCTCAGGGGAGGAAGCGGCGAAGAGGCAGGTCCGGGGCGGGGGTTTGGGGAAGGAGTTGGAATAGAGACAG